TATGCCCACCATAACAGAAATTACTTTCTTTATGTTCTCAGTAAATATAAAACTGGAATTCTTAATTCTGGAATTCTTAAAGAAAGGTACCTTTATTTGTTTGCGTCCTTCTTTCTTCTCAATTGTTAATGCAAGTTGCTTAACTTTTCTGTTCAGTTCGGAGCCTTTACCCTTAACTTCACCAGCTTCTGCTATCTCAGGATAATGTTGTTTCTAGAAAATAAAGAAATGCAAATCCTGAAGTCACACTTTATCCTACACAATTCTTTCCAGATCTAGCACAGCTAATGATGATGAGAGATAAATCAACTTTTACATATACATAGCAGAACTTACTAAAGTGATTATGTATAGAGTCACAGAACAATTTAGTGGACTGAAGCCAAATATTCTGCTCAAAGCAGGGTTGACACTGAATGCTGAACTGGTTGCACAGGGCTTTGTCCACCTGGGTCTTAAAAACCTCTGAATACAGCGATTCCCCGTCTCTCTGGGCAACCTGCTCCGATGTCTGGCTGCCCTCACAGTGAAAAAGAACTTTATGTCAAGTAGGAAACTCAGACTTATGTTCCTGCCAAGAACCTGATTTTGCCTTCATAGCAACTTCCCCTGAGGGCTACAGTTAGTCCCCCTGAGATGTTTTCTTCTCAAGGCTGAACAAGCCAAATTACCTTAGCCTCTCCTCACAGTGCAAGAGCTTCAGCCCCCAGACTATCTTGGCAGCTCTCCACTGAACTCACCTAATTTCATCAATAGCTTTCTAGCCTGCCATAGCACAAAACTAGACACAATATTCTAAATATGGCCTAACTAAGAGCAGGGAAATAATAATTCCTTTGACCTAGTGGCTATACCCTTGTTAGCACAGCTCAGATTGCTGTTAGCCTTCCTTGATGTCAAGCTACTCTACTTGTGTTTAGCTTGTTATCTGCCAGGACCCCCAGCTCCTTTCCAGCAAACAAATTCCAGCCATTTTGCGTCCTGTCTTTCCCACTGGCTAGGGTTAATCCATCCCAAGTGCATGACTTAAAAGTTATCCTTGTTGAATTATTCTGTTTTATAGTACTTAAGAATATAGCAGAGATGCAGTTAAAAATCATGAGATTCAGAACTGCAGGAAGCAGTTCAAAAAACCCTAGAAGAAATACAAGAACTGAGAACATCAAAATTCAGCATATACATCTGAAGTAATGACCAGAAGCACCATGTTTACAAAGCATCATTGCAGACCCATTGCAGTAGATCTGATAAGATTAGCTCTAAAACCACCTAAAAAAAAAAATAATTTTATGTAATCCCACATTATCATCTATAAATCAGTCTTCGTGGTCTAAAGTCACATAACAAAACCCCTCCAAAATGAAACACACTCCTGAGTGGAACCTTTGGCCTAGAGAAAATATGCTGAGAAACTGACATTCAAGTGAACCCGTGGCTCATAGATGGCCCCACATCACAAAAGTCAGCTACTGAGAAACATTATCCCCGCCCCAATCCTATTTTCACTCTTCTCTATAGCATTTTGTTTGCAAATACTCTTTTTAAGTATTATCACAAAATACTGCTGCAGATAAAAAATACAATGAACATAAATGAATTCCCAATGACCTACTGTCCTGGGTCCTATCCTTAAACCATGACACCTACTAAGGTCTAGATATCACTTGTAACATTGTACCTCAAAACATTTTGTGTCTTCCAATTTCTTTTTTCTTACCATAATCAGGAAGTTTCACAGGTATTTTCACTTGCTCCCCTGAGCCATTAACTAAATAAAAAAAAACAGAAGCGGAAATTAAATGATAAGTACAGAAACCAATTTGTTATGATGGATTTTTTTTAAAGCAAAGTTTGAGCTTTTGTTGACACAAGAAAAGTAAGCTACGTTTAGTTTTGAATGTGCTATGAGATGTTCAAAAAACAGACTAAAGACATTTACACCAAACAGTAGCAAAGGTATTTAATGTCAGGCAATTTGACGAAGCAGGCAGAGAGGAAGACCAATCAAGACACTAGTTATCACACAACACAGATTCCAACACACATCACAAAATTATATTATTAAACAGTGGTTTAAATTGAAAGTAATTCTGGCTGCAATATAGTTTATACAGAAGACGACCTGCAACAAGGGGAATACCTGACTCATTCGCTACTGCACAAATATCTTTTATTCTATAATGAACAAAGTTTAATTTCATAAATTTCAGGGCTACTTTAATCCAGTACATTGCAGCAATTTAGTTTAAATCCAATGAACTCGAGGTACTTAAACTGCTGGCCCATACACTGCCCATCAGGGGACTTGACACAGCCTAGAACCCTGCTGCCTTTTGAAAAAGGTCAGCAGTTATCCCCTCTCCAGTCAAATACCTTTTTCTATCCACACACAGCATATGATACAGCTGGGGATGGAGAACCTTGAGATATTTAAATCTTAAAGGTCTCTAGAGTCTTGAATTCTTTAAGGTTTCTCAAAAGTTTAATTAAGGTGATTTGTAGTATTGTAGTTTTGCATACCTCTTATCATATTATTGATAGATTTCTGTAGGATTAGGTCGTTATGTCATTAAAGGACACTAGACAGGTCTTAAAGCACAAGTCTCCAGAAAGCCTTTTTCTTGTTTGTTTCATGAACTCCTACATTGGGGCAGGGAGAAAGGCACATGTACAGAACAGAGCAGGAAGAAAAAAAATCTTGTACTTACCAATGCCATGAGCTTTCAGTACTTCTTCAACCTAAATTATCAAGTTATCAGCCAACAAAGAAGACAGACACTTAAAGAATCAAAAACTAACAATGCAAACATTTTATCGTTTATAAAATAAATGAGATTAGCACCAGCACCACAGATCAGTTCACACAATTAGATAATTACATGAAACTTGAAAGAAACATGCAACATTTTTCCTAGATTGCCTACAGTTTCAGGAAGTCCATTCTGCATTTATTAACTGCCACATATTCTCATGTATTGTATTTACTAATCCAGAATGAGACACAAAGTTGTAACATTTTATGATGCACAAAACTAAGTTCTAGTTTATTGCAGTAAACAGTAAAGTAACAAAACTAGGTAAGTATCTGAAATTGCATGCTTTAACACTACATTAAAGGTTAGATTTCAAACACATATTCTATTGTTAAATAAATCTGTAAAATCTGACAAAAGTTGTATTCAAAAACGGATCTTACCGCCTTGTGTTTGAATCCTAAGAAGTGAGTCTGCAAGTTTAATGCAGAAGCACACCAGATTTTGCAAACCTAGGATAAAAAGAAGTATTTCTAGCACTGCACAAAAGCAACAGAAAAAAATACCTCTAATGTCAAACCAAAACAAATCTGCTATAGACATGTCAGTATACGTAAATTTGAAAAAGTACTGTTTCTCCAAAGACAAACTAAAGCAGCTTCTAGAACTTTTCTCTATAAGGCTCCAAGACAGTGGAATGAAAAGGAATCTCCACATCACACAAAAATCTCAGAGTCTCCAGAACCCTGTGGCTCTCTTATAGCATATTTTTGTGTTGATAAGTAAAAATAGATCCAAGATCTTCCTCACACACTATCAACCAAATCTGAACCAGGGGCTCAGTATAATTGTGACACACCAGTACACCGGCCTGCGATGAGCCAGTTCTCCTTAGTGCTGCATCCATTCTCACACACTTACTCTGATTAGTTTGGGGCCTGCCTCACTCACATGCATGTGAAGTTTTCTAATCACAGATGGTTTATGCCTGGGCTGGCTCAGAACAGGAGCAGATTAGGTTTAAATTTATGTGAATGAACAAAGGCAGCCCAAATATTTTCTCCTCCTCTAAAAACACCCCAAGATGCTAAAAAGCAACAGTGATAAACCCAGGAACATAAATTAGGATATTAACTCTGACCAGAAGCTGCAGTTTAATCTTCTACTTTAAAATAACACCTTTATTTAGAAACATAATAGTAACATTAATTTCCATTTAGTAAGTTAGTTCCTGGCACACATCCAAGTAAAACATGACCAAAAAAGCAAAGTGAGATCAATTCTAGTGCTATTTATCAATTTCACTCAAGGAAAATAATAATAATAATAGTAATAAAGTTCACACTTGATTTAGTCGAACTTTGTTCTACCAAAATTACTTTGTATTAGTTACAATTTTCAGTGAGGAATACTTAACATTGCAGTAAAAGGAGTTTACTTGCTTCTTTATCTCAGCATTAGTGTCCATATTTGATCTTTAGATGATGAGGCAACCCTAGGAAAATAGAAAAAAGGATTGCAAGCTATTGTTTTAAATTCAGAAAACCACTCATATTCTTGCTCCACCTATTTAAGGGTCATGTCTATGCCAATTTTAATTTGTGCCTCGCTTGCAGTTGCATTTAATGTTTAAATCTCCAGGCCAACGATCATATTTTTAATTTAGAGGAAAAATACAACACGGAAGAAACAATCTTCTCCCAGAGTTTCCCTCAGGGAAGACAAAGCCACCAGAAGATTACACAAGCCCCAAAACAAAACTATTTGGAACTATTTCAAGCTTCCCTTTTCTTTCCTGGGATTGAAAGGCGCGGAGCATGGACTGGAACAGATGACATACAGCCAGGCATGCAGAGCCCAAAGTCCGCCTTTGGAAAAGGAACACGATGTGGGCTGTGAAGAAAAGTACGCTCCCACCCTGGAGTGGGGCAGGGTCGGGCGGGAAGAAGGGCAAAGCGAATACAAGCGAATGAAGGCCCGCGAATACAAGCGCTGAAGAAGCGCCTCGGCCCCTGTCCCATCCTTGGAGCTGGCCCAGCACGCCGCCCGCAGCGGCCCTACCGATCCCGCCAGATCTGCCGGTGAGGGGACGAGCACCTGCTCGGGCAAGGAACCGAGGAGAAGATAGGGGCCGTCGCTGCACCCTGCTCACCCCAGCCCTGCAGCGGGCAGCAGCCGGATGGAGCCGGCACCCAGCGGCCACCGCTGCTCCCCCTCACGCCGCCACCGCACCGGCCTCTTACCGCCAGCCCGCGACTCCCCGCTCCTCCTCAGGCACCCGCGGAGGTGAGGGGCTGAGGGACAGCCCGCACGGCCACCCGCCGCCAAGGTGCCCAACCACCACCGCCGCCGGCAGCGGGGCCCGGGGCGTACCGGGCGGGCAGGAACTGCGTCACGCACGGCGCGGAAGGGACGCGAGAGCCCAGGCCCCGGGGACGGGACGGCAACGAGAACCGGGAGCTCAGAGGGAAGGAGGGGACGGGGGAGCCACCCCTCAGCGCAGCACCCACGACCCGCCTCCATCAGCCCCATGTGCCACTGGGGGCGCTGGCGCTCACGCTCCGGCGGGCACTGTCGGAGGTAAAGCCCGAGCTGGCGCCTTCTGCCTCCCCACCGGGACGGGCGCGGTCAGAGATCCCCACCCGCTCCGCACTAGGAGGTGTGGGGTGCCGCGCTAGAGACGTGCGGCCCGGGAGCTCCGCCCGCGGGCCGCGTCAGGTGCAAACGGGGCTGCCCACCCCCTTCCTGGCGGCTGGCGGGTGATCGCACATCGCTCCCCGGAGCACGCACACCACACCAGGCACACACCCCGCGGGCCAGCTCCTCTGCACCTGGGGGCACAGGGTCTCCCGGGGCCTTTCCTTCCCGCGGCACGGCGGGAGAGGCCGGTGCTGCACCGCCTGTGCTCTGAAGAGGCGGAAATCCATCGCGGGGTTTGCGGGGAGCTGAAGGAGCGCCAGCGACCTGCCGGCGAGGAGGTGAGGCAGGCAGGCCCGGCCGCCAGCGGGGGGAGGAGAGGAGAGGAGGGAAGCTGAACCGAGCCGATCCGAGCCGGCGGTAGCAGCTCTCGGCGGCGCTTTGTTCGGAGCACGGAGAAGGCGGGTGCTGCAGGGTGGGGTTGTCCCCGCTCCGCGGTCGCCGGGAGTCAGCGCGGCCGCCGGCCGTTCCCCTGCCGCGGCAGATGTCCCTGAGCCCGCGCCGCAGCCTGTATGCCCGCCCTGGGAGGAGCGGCCGCCTTTGTGGAGCCGGGACCTGCTTTGCTTTCTCGTTCAGGAGGAGCTAGCGAGGAAACAGAACCCAGCTCGAGTTAATGTGGGAGAAGTTCGGGTGCAGGAGAGTCTGGTAGGATTCCTGTTTATGCCTATTTTTGATCAATTTCAGACAGTCATTGCAAATAACAACCTGCGTCCATTACCTTTCTCTGCACAAACTGCTTTGGATGCCCTCCATAGGTAGCGGGATGACCGGCTTAAAATAAGCTACGTGCATGTGTATGTAATATAATATTATACGTACCTTTAAAAAATACATTTGCCTGTGTATGTCCGTGAAATTTGCCGGGAGAAATTAAAGCGAAGTACTGTTATTTTTTTACTAATAGATTATTTTGTTCATTTGCTGGATGATGCATTATAACTATTAATTTATGTTAAAACGGAGGGAGTGGAAAACATCCAAAGAGGTTTGGGGGGGGGGGGGGGGGGGTGTGTTATCTGATTATATGTAACACAATTGCCATATAGATCCCATTCATACTTGTAATATGCACCTAATTACCTAGTGATTTCAAGTCTCGAGGTAGACAGGGTCAGGCCTGGAATGCTCTGATGGAAGCTCTGTGAGGAAAACCTAACATTTGAGGAGGGAGAACACTGTTTACTGCTGGTTCTAGCATTCAAATGAAATATAAACCTGTTGTTGTGACTGGTTTGGGTCACTGCATTTCCATGTCTTTTTTCCACCCTCAAACACTGGATGTAAAGGGCAGAATTATGATTTTTAGTGCTGTTAACTACTGACTATGCTTAAAGCTTCATCTGTAGTTTAACTTAGATAAATAAATCTTCTTTTTTGTTTTTTTTTCTCAATCCTTAACTAATTCTTGTACTAATCCTTTTGCCTTTGGTAAATTAATTCTGCTTTCATACCATAAGTCACCACAGTTTGCTAGCAAACTGTTTTCTCTGGGTTCAGTTAGTGTGAACTTCACATTTAGGTTAAGTCTTCCATCATAGCTTCACATTTCTTATACCTAAACAATACTTCAGGGACTAAAAATGCTCACACATGGCCATCTGAAGTGATTTGTTTTTTTCCCCCTACACGGACTTCTTTGCACTGGTTTGAGTTTAGGTGCATGTTTAGGTGTGTGCAAGCAAAATAATACATATATATAACGCAGCTATGAGCATCTGCTCTGCTTCACTTGTGTAATCTTTTTTTCCAAGATATTTTTCCAGGAGACCACAGCACATCCCTTATAGTCGTTAAAAGAAGAATGCCACACAACATTTCAAAGTAAAAATAAGGAGTTGAGAGATATTATTGTTATTTTAAAGCAGTAAGAGTTTGTGTGAGAGAGCAAGTACTTTGGACAGTGATTTGTTATAAGGCAAGTTGTGAATTGAGCTATGCCAGGAGAAGACATCTGGGATAAAGTACTTTCTTACTGTGCATATCTTAGAGCTTGGGCACCTGTAAGAGTGGGAGAAGCCTCCCATTCTTTATTTTTTAGAATTTACTACACAACTGTTCTCATGTGCCTACACATTCCCAAATCAATCTCGTTTCCTGCATAACTGGTAGACACTGAGCTTTCATTTCAGCACAGCTTCCTACATACTGATTTATATCCTGGGCATATGTCATGGAAGGATCTTTTAGCCTTAAAATGGAAATTGTTTCGGCTTAGAATCATAAAATGGTTTGGGTTAGAAAGGACTTTAAGATAGAATCATAGAACAGTTAGGGTTGGAAAGGACCTTAAGATCATCTAGTTCCAGCTCCCCTGTCATGGGCAGGGACACCTCACACTAAACCATGTCACCCAAGACTCTGTCCAACCTAGCCTTGAACATCACCAGGGATGGGGTGTTCACAACATCCTTTGGCAACCCATTCCAGTGCCTCACCACCCTCACAGTAAAGAACTTCTTCCTTATATCTAACCTGAACGTCCCCTCTTTTAGTTAAAATCCATTTCCCCCTTGTCCTGTTACTACAGTCCCTGATGAAGAGTCCCTCCCCAGCATCCTTATAGGCCCCATTCAGATACTGGAAGGCTGCTGTGAGGTCTCCATGCAGCCTTCTCTTCTCCAGGCTGAATAGCCCCAACTTTCTCAGTCTGTCTTCATACGAGAGGTGCTCCTGCTCCCTGATCATCCTCATGGCTCTTCTCTGGACTTGTTCCAACAGTTGCATGTCCTTTTTATGTTGAGGACACCAGAACTGCACACAGTACTCCAAGTGAGGTCTCATGAGAGCAGAGTAAAGGGGCAGGATCACCTCCTTCGACCTGCTGGTCACGCTCCTTTTGATGCAGCCCAGGATACGGTTGGCTTTCTGGGCTGCAAGTGCACACTGCCGGCTCATGTTCATTTTCTCATCGACCAGCACCTCCAAGTCCTTCTCTGCAGGGCTGCTCTGAATCTCTTCTCTGCCCAACCTGTAGCTGTGCCTGGGGTTGCTCCGACCCAGGTGTAGGACCTTGCACTTGGCATGGTTAAACTTCATGAGGTTGGCATCAGCCCACCTCATAAGCGTGTCAAGGTCCCTCTGGATGGCATTCCTTCCCTCCAGTGTATTGACTGAACCACACAGCTTGGTGTCATCGGCAAACTTGCTGAGGGCGCACTCAATCCCACTGTCCCATGTCACCGACAAAGTCGTTGAACAAGACCAGTCCCAATGCCAATCCCTGAGGGACACCACTCGTTACTGGTCTCCAGCTGGACACTGAGCCATTGACCACAACTCTTTGTGTGCAGCCATCCAGCCAGTTCTTTATCCAGTGAGTGGTCCATCCATCAAATTGATGTCTCTCCAATTTAGAGACAAGGATGTTGTGTGGGACAGTGTCGAACGCTTTACACAAGCCCAGGTAGATGACATCAACTGCTCTGCCCCTGTCCATCAGTTCCATAGCCCCATCATAGAAGGCCACCAAATTGGTCAGGCAGGATTTCCCCTTAGTGAAGCCATGCTGGCTGTCACCAAGCACCTTGTTGTTTTTCATGTGCCTTAACACGCCTTCCAGGAGAATACTCCAAGACCCTGCCCTGCACAGAGGTGAGTCTGGTCTGTGGCTCCCTGACTACCGCGCCTCACCTTTGCCCGCTCTGCTCCCCATGCTCTGGGCCGCTCAAGCTCCATGGGCCGCGTTTTCCCCTCTCAGGGCGGTGCTGTCCCTCCTGGCACGGCCCCCTGTGAGTCCCTGCTTGCCTCAGCGGAGCTGCCGGCACGTGGGCAAGGCTCATGGAGGGCTCGAGGCTCCCTTGGTGGCTCTCACTGCTCGGAAGTGAGGCTCCTGGAAGCAGTGTTTTCCCTCTCTCTGGGATTGAAGTCTCCTCTCTGGAGCCACTCACCTCGGCAAATGACCCAGGTGAGTAGCTTTATGAGAGCCTTTTCTCATATTCTGCATAGGAGAAGGTGATTGATATGTATAAAGAGAAAGAGGTGAATATAAATACATGGTGGTGTTTTGCTGCAACTTCTCAGTATTCTAAGTTCGCTGGCATCTCAGAGTGCTTTCTGTGCAGCAATTGAGAATGGGCTTAATGTATTGAAGCAAGCAGGCTAAGCATGTAAGAGCTTGAAAAACATCTTCAAGAACTCATTTCTTCTGTGTAGTAAGTGCATTAAACTGCTTTCACTTGTTCTTGAGTTCTTTTATGCATCCTAGGTCAGAGTCCTGGCTTTTTCGTGGAAAAGACACATGTGCAGTGTTGTATGTGTAGGAAAAATAATAGGAATGTAGGGGAAGGAAAGACTGATATATTGTATTCTTCTCAGAGTAGGATCTACGTTTCTTTTCTTAAATGTACAGTATTTAAGCTTATGAATTGGGATCTTAGATGATACCTGTCAGGGTCCAATTGGAGAAAACTGCAGTGCCAGACCCTGTTTCAGTTCATGTTCCCAAGAGTGAAATTAAGACTTAAACAAGGTCAAGTACTGTAATTGTTGAGTTGGTTTGTTGCAAAAAGACAATTATTATAAAAAAGAGAAATTATTGTGATAAAGGGGATAGTGATAGGACACATTGGAAAAAGGATGGAAATGAAGCAAGAATTTGGGGTGCAGAGAGAGTCACCACTGTGGATTCAGCGGTGTTCCAGGGCACCGTTGTCATATGTGGTGGGAGTTCTGCAGGGTTTGTAGTCGCTGTTGGAGCACAGTGTCCCCAGAGAGTCTGTAGTAGTCTTTGGAGGTGGGTGTCCTCATGGAGGTATCGTTCTAGAGTCATCCTCGTGGCAATGGCTCCTCTTCGTAATTACGTTTTGCCCCTTTTATAATGAGTTGGGGGGGAGTACCTCTCTTCTTCATGTCATATATTACATGTTTCTGGTAGACCAGTTCCCTTGGTCTTGCAGCCAGCTCTTCAACTGCATGTTGTGTGGGATAATGGACAATTCTTCACACCAATGGACAAGGGTCTTAGCTCTTTCCCACTCATCCCTCAGGCAATGGATGGTGGAGTCCCATTTCAGCTCCTCACACCCTTCTCCCACGTAGTGGACTTATCTCAACTCCTCCCACCCATCTCTGAGACAATGGATTGGTGGAATTCCATCTCAGCTTCTCATACCAATCTTTGAGACAATGGAAAGTGGAGTCTGATTTCAGATCAGTCTCTCATTATACCACAGTAAAAAATAATAGCAATAAATGATAGTGTGGTATGAAAGTGATACTTAAGGGTTTGGTGTGGCTCCATCCATGAAAGATGAGCTTTTCTTCTAGTACATAGGTTGTAAATATATATGAATTCATATTTGGAAATGCTTTAAATATTTACTGGTATCACTTGATCTCTGCCAGTCTGCTTAACTAAATATTTAGCACCTCAAATCCAGAATTCCCAGTATGATTGTTGATTTGGAGAAAACTCCAGGAACAAACTCTCCAACAAAGTTTCAAGTTGACAAGCAGGTATTCTTTATTGCGGCGCCAGAAAGCATGGGAGATAGCTCCTCCTAACGTGTATCACCGTATTGCTACACAGGCCATCCTTATATAGTCACTGGGCCGACATACATATTCATGAGGCTACACATGAATTACATCATCTTCCAGAAAGTGATGGTGGTCTTTGAGGGCCATTTACTTCTTCCAACAGTCTTTATAACTTCTATCAGTCTTTGAAGCACCAGCTTAATTAACATTACAGACATAGCAATCATCCCATCCTTCTACTTATCAGTTAGTTTAACTGCTCCCATCCTGGACATCTGCTAGTCCCAGATGCTCCCCATCCCCAGGTTCTGTTTTTCTATTCTGCTTTTCTTACACTTTTTGTACTAAGGGTCCTAAGGACTGAAAACTATGTCAACTACCTTCAAGCACTGCAGTTATTTTCCATTACAAAGCCATCAAACTTACCATTACTTAGAACTGATTACATTTTGTGCTTTTATGCCTCCTTGTCTCAGGGTCATAAGCTGTTGAACCTTATGACTTGCTGGTGGGACTGCTTTCCATCCTGTTTGTCAGTGAAACCTGTTAAGACAGGTTGAACCATCAATATTTAGTCCAAAAAAAATTCGTTTCAGCAGCTGTCCAAAGCAGCTCAATGGTTTGAAATGGTACAGTAAGTACATTTACCATACAATGGTGAAATAGATTAGTAAATAGAGTCTATTTCGTTATAGGTCTCTCCTATTTTGCATGCTTTGGGAGCTGTTTCATTGAGCAGAGTTCCTGGTTTTCATCATCTCCTGCTAGGATGTCCATTTTCTGACTTTTTGGCTAGCTTGAAAATTTATTTTTCTATTTAAGGACTTTCTGAAGCAGATGTTCTCTTCTGTTAGACCTAGACATTATAATTGGTATGTGAGACTTTCAAGTTTTTTACATACACTTACTTTGTTCTGTGATATTATAGGTGTTTAAGAATTCCTGTCACCAATATGTGGGGTGATTAAGTTTTCACAGAGGATAATAAATAACTTGATATAGTGTGATGGAGGAAATGCTTGATCAGAGAGCCAGTTCCTTCCACAGGGACCCAGCTCTTTTCCTTCTTCCAGCTTTTTCTTTCTTGTAAGAAAATAAGCAAGCTGTTCTATGAACAGTGCAGATAATAAACTCTGGTTTTCTATGAATCTTTCCCTTTGCCCCTAAATCCTGTCTGCTGATCCCAGCTCTCCCATATCCTCATGACACCTGCTTTTGGTAAGAGACAACAGAACTGTGACTAGCCAGGAACTGCACAGGTGCTGCTGTCTGGTCAGTACATGGTCACTGGTGATTACCTAGTTGAGCAGTGGCAGAAAGTACAAACTTAGTGTTTGCTGCTTTTTCAGTAGGGGTCAACTTAGCTACTGCTACTGACTTAACATAATTAATGTAAACTCGGACTATTACTTATTTCTATTCACTTTGTTACAGTTTTGCTATTCTGGACTTTGTCCTACTGCCTCTTCTATTCTTTGACTCCTTTGTTTTGCTGGGGTTTGTCACATGTTATGGGCTACTTGAGAAAGCTTCTGTTCTGATATGTCAGAGTTGGGTTCTCATTTTGATGTCAGCTTGTCTGTTAGCTTTCTTTGTAAATATAAGTAGTCACTTTCACAGAAGCAAGTGGAAATAACTAAGTATCAAGACATTTGGAGGAAAGGAGTTGCAAGGATGGTATGAAGAGAGTGATGGTGCAGTGCAGTTAAGTAAAAACTAATATTGGAAGGAGGAAATTTCATAGCGGTATCTATTGCATCTTCAAGTAACGTTGTGAGGGAAGTAGTGGAAACAATGGGCAAAATACATTTTGGGAAGATTCTTTTTGGGGAGTCCGAGACTGTGAGCATTATGGTCCAGTTACCACATATGTTTCATCTCTGAGTTTTATGATTAAAACCAGAAGAAATATGACCTGAGATAGCTTTGCTTTTCCCCATTTTCTACATAATTATCCACAAGTTTCTGTACAAAATGTGAAAGTAATTTGGGATACACAGTTATAGTAGGATGGAATGGGGAAAGAATTGTGGAAAGATAGAATAAAAGCTACATTTTACAGCACAATCGTATGTTAATAATTCAAGGAAGCACTCTTCATTTTTTTTTTATTTTTTCCTAAGAATTTCCAGATATCATCTACCCTTTTCTTACTGACTGAGTAAGTCTGGGACTTACGCAGTTGTTAACATGGTGTAAGTAATATGGAAGTGGCTGTATTGAGTGAGGCCAGAACTCTTTTTAGCCTGGTTGTTAATTCCGGAGAGGGACCAGCAGTGCAAGCATAAGGAAGAGTGCCACACACTGAGTCAGCAGTGAAGGGCGAAGGACCTGTACCTTCAGAGTGGTTAGTTTCTGTAATTAATTCATGTCTCGCAACCAGTCAAGATCCTGCTGCCTATTGCATGTCAGTCACGGAGGGCTGAGCAGAAGGGAGAACCAAACCAACAGGAGACTTTAAAAATAGAACTTCCTACTATCATTTCTTATACAACTTTCAAGTACAATGGAGGGAGGGGAGAAGTTATATGCAGTCAGCAAGGGCAGAAGAGGGTCCTTTCTGTATGAAAGGAAACACACACATGCTGAAGGTGGCTTCAGACTTAAACCTGAGGCTATAAAGTGATGGATTTCAGAACTTGTTCTACAGTTCAGGGCTTTGAGAACTCTGGGTGTAAAAAAGTGCAATGAGCAGGAACACAAGTTATTAAAAAGAAGTTACTAATTAAATTGGATACTGTGTATTTGGTATCAAGATAAATTGTAACAAAGAAGAAGATTCTCATTATGGTATACTCTTGACTGTGTAGCTTCTAAAATGGTAATAGAAAATAGCTTATAATTACACTATGTCTTACCTAAATATTTCGTTATGTTCTCTAGAACTACTCACAAGCTATTCTAGAAAATGAAGTGTATTAGAAGCAGAAGCTATGTTTAGGTGTTATTTGTTGAAACACGGTTTCCTGATATTGTAACCAGTCTAATTTGTTTGTTTTTTGCTTTCAACCTTGTCTTCATAGGATTTTTGGCTTCTTGGAGAAACAATAGAAAATGCAAAACGAAATAATAAAGCCTGCTAAATACTTCTCAGAAGTGGAGAAGAGTGTGCTGCTTGCATTAGTTGAAAAATACAAATATGTGCTTGAGTGTAAAAAAAGTGATGCAAGAACTATTGCTCTGAAGCAACGTACCTGGCAAGCACTAGCTCATGAATATAATTCGCAGCCCAGTGTATCACTGCGAGACTTCAAACAGTTAAAGAAATGCTGGGAAAATATCAAGGCACGGACAAAAAAGATAATGGCACATGAAAGGCGGGAGAAGGTAAAAAGAAGTGTTAGTCCACTTATAAGTTCTCACATCATAGGGAAAGAGAAGATTGCCAGCATAATGCCTGAGCAAATGTACTTTTTGCAGAGCCCACCAGAAGATTCTGAATATCAGCCTGATGCTTCTAGTCAAGGTATAAATGTTACTGTAATGTTGCAAGTAGTATTGTTTTCTATGTGATTTTGCCATGGATTTGCTTTCAGGAGTCTAATCTCTCCACTTAGCTGCAACTGCTGGTTATAGAAGAGTAATTTCAGAGCTATGATATTATAAGACTGTGTATTTCCCTAGGCCCCCAGGAGTTAAAGTGAGGTTTTACTCAATTCTTTTTCATCAGTTTTTGACATACAGAATCAACTAGGTTGGAAATGACCTTTAAGATCAAGCCCAACCATTCCCCCAGCACTGCCAAGGCCGCCACTAAACCATGTCACTACGGGCCTTATCTACACAGGTTTTTGAACACAGACTGTTCCAATGCCTGAACACCCTTTCCAGTAAAGAAATTTTCCCTAATATCCAATCTTAAACCTCCCCCAGCACAGCTTGAGGCCATTACCGCTTATTCTATCACTTGTTATTTGGGAGAAGAGACTCACCACCACCTTACTACAGCCTCCTTTCAGGTAGTTGTAGAGGGCGATAGTCCTCCCTGAGCCTTCTCCAGACTAAACAACCCCCGTTCCTTCAGCCGCTCCTCATCAGACTTCCACTGCATCTCCCTTCGACGGGGAAGCAACAAAGGACCACCCGACTCCGGTATTTCCTTGCACCCGGGGAAGCGAGAAGCCCGCCCGCTCCAGGCGGCGTGGCGGGGTCTCTCTGCGCCCCTCAGGCAGACAGGACTGTGGTACTCACGGGGCGGCCAGGATGAGCTGCGCCACGGCGGGGACGCCGCCGTCCGTCTGCTGGGTGTAGTGGGTGAGGTGTGGTGTCGAGCCGGTCCGCCTTTAGAGCAGGCATGCCGGCAGCGCGGCGGCCCCGCTCCTGCCCAGCTCCACCAGCAGCCCGCCGGCCGCACCACGCAGCCTCACCTGCATCGAGGGCAGGTGAATGATACACACTGAGCTCCCTGTAGATCTTCCTTCCTTTGTTTTCCAGGACTTTTAGAATACGTAGAGCCGTATTTCACACTGCAGTCCACATTGGAGAATGGCCTTTCTACAAAAGGTCAGCACTACATTCTTTGCTTGGCAAGCACACAGAGAAGGAATAATCCAAAACCAGAAAGGGAGGGTGGCTACAGTGGTTTCTCACAAACTTTATTATGTCAGGATCACACATAGAAGACTGTTTTTGCTCAAAAGACAACAGTAACTACATTGGTAGATAACTTTCTTACAACATCCCTTTCCTAATTGTATTTACTATAAGTAGCCGTCAGGATTTGTAAAGGAGTGTATTTTGAGACCCTTACTGGCAATGGTAACTTTTTTATTCCATGAGTTGTTTCTTTTATTTCAGAAGAATTGGTAGAACTGTCACAAAGTTAGAAAAGTGTCATTTTTTCCTAAAAATATTCACCACTGTGTTTGCAACGTGTGCGGTAGTGATAAGGAAGGAATAAGTAGTATTCTTCCTCATATTCCCTCAGCCTCTTGCTATTCGTGTTGATACAGCTCTTTACCTGACACTCAGATCTTTCATAAAAGATCTGAGTCACTCACAGATTTAGCTTAAACAGCTGCCTTAAGCTTCAGCTCCAGGCTCAGCCACTTAAATTTAGGCGTTCACTTATAAATGTCTGTGTTCACTTTAGTATTCTGAGCTCCTGTTACAGCCATGGGTGGAGGTCTGTCAACAGAGTCCGGAGTGGTTCAGTCAGACCACTGTGCCCTTAATATTCTGTAACAGAATGCAGTGACTCCTGTACTATGGCACAGAAGCACTAAGTTTAGATGCATACACTACTAACTATGCTATCACAGGCTTGTGTTTCCTGAGGGAGGAGGAATACTAAAATGCTTTTTTCCTCTTCTGTTTTGCAGAGTCATTTGTTGTCTCAAATAGAGAACTTTGTGATGAAGACAAAGAGCTGGTACATTTCCCAGTATGTGAAGGTACCTCCCAATCTGAGCCTTCGTGTTCTGATGTCAGAATAGCAGCAGATAAGAACTACAGAAGTAAAGCATCTCAGGAAAGTGCTCTGAAAAAGATGCATGAGGAAGAACATCATCAGCAAATGTCAATTTTGCAACTACAGTTAATCCAAATGAATGAAGTTCATGTGGCAAAAATACAGCAAATAGAAAGAGAGTGTGAGATGGCTGAAGAAGAACACAGGATAAAAATGGAAGTGCTAAATAAAAAGAAAATGTATTGGGAGAGAAAACTGCAGACCATCACAAAAGAATGGCCTGTATCATCTTTTAACAGACCCTTTCCTAATTCACCTTAGAACATAGGCAGAGTCAGTCTGATTGAGCACATTAATGAGTAATGCACACTGGAAAGAGGGTTTTTTAATGTGAATGTACAGTGAGTGACAGGATAGCTGCCTGGCTGATAGTGAGCACACTTTGACTCTTAATGTTTAGAGAAACAGTGGTAGAGTCCACCAAGGGGAAAACTAAATTGTTCATTTGTAGGTAGTTCTGATTTGTTTAACTGTCAGACATGCACAGTGTTCTAAAATGTCAACAGATTTTTCCCCTCTCAGAATACCATAACATACTTTTGAAATTTAAGGTACTCTAGGTATGCTTACGTTGGGTGTTCCTGAGAAAATGTAACAGCTTTAAACATGAGGTTATAATGTTTATTTTGTTTTCTATCTCTTCCTGTCTACCATTTCCCAAACAAAGACAAAGGTTGGAGTTGCTCTCTGCTATTGAGACAAAAGATGATTGACAGATATTGGCTGGATTGTTATGCTGGGGCTTAGGAAAAAAAAACCAACAAACTAGTTAAAACAGTTCATAACTTATTCTTCCTAGAAGATGTGAAAATGAAGTAAGTAGCAAAAGGACCACTGAGCTCTTTGCTTATGAAGAACAGTAGATTTTCGATCTGGCTGGCTGATTGAGAGAATGGTTGTAGACTGGCCCTCCAGCCTTGACCCATAAGAAGTTGGAAAGAAGGTGACTTCTTCCTCAGAAGCCATTGTGCTTGTCCTTTCTTTTCCAGGCCCACCCTGTATTCAAGTAGAATACCAAACTAGGAGTCTCCTGCTGCTGCTAGTGCTGTGTGCTTTCCACCTGGAGTCATTCTGAGAACAAGAGCTTTTTAACAATTCATAAAGCTCTTCAAATGTAGTGAACCAGCCAGTCCATTGACAAAGTCTCCCTCTGTCTCCCTTTGCAGTACTTGATGGCATAGCAGCTTCCTTGAGTGTTCCAGCCTCTCTCTAGCTAGAAGGACTAAGACTCTCCCTCTTTTCCTTCACATGGGGTGGGAAGCAGTTCAAGGGAATCATTCCTGTTTTGGAGCACTGTTCTGTTTTGTTCTGTTCTGCTTGTTAGTGCTGTGTTTCTTGCCTTTGCTGTCAGTGAGGGATGATAGACATAGAATCATAGAATAGTTAGGGTTGGAAAGGACCTTGAGATCATCTAGTTCCAACCCCCTGCCGTTGACAGTGACACCACACAGTAAACCATGTCACCCAAGACATCATCCAGCTTGGCCTTGAACACTGCCAACGATGGAGCGTTCACAGCTTCCTTGGGCAACCCATTCCAGTGCCTCACCACCCTCTCACAGTAAAGAACTTCTTCCCTGTATCTAACCTGTACTTCCCCTATTTAAGTTTAAACCCATTCCCCTTTGTCCTAGCACTATAGTCCCTAATGAAGAGTCTCTCCCCAGCATCCCTATAGGCCCCCTTCAGATACTAGAAGGCTGCTATGAGGTCATGCAGCCTTCTTTTCTCCAGGCTGACCAGCCCTAACTTTCTCAGCCTGTCTTCATATAGGAGGTGCTCCAGCACCCTGATCATCTTCGTGGCCCTCCTCTGGACTTGCTCCAGCAGTTCTGTGTCCTTCTTATGTTGGAGGCACCAGAACTGCACGCGGTTTGCAAGTGGTGTCTCACAAGAGCAGAGTAGAGGGGCAGAATCACCTCCTTCGACCTGCTGGTCACGCGCCTTTTGATGCAGCCCAGGATACAGTTGGCTTTCTGGGCTGCAAGCGCACACTGAAGCCAGCTCATGTTCATTTTCTCATCAACCAACACCCCCAAGTCCTTCTCCACAGGGCTGCTCTGAATCTCTTCTCTGCCCACCCTGTAGCTGTGCCTGGGATTGCTCCAACCCAGATGTAGAACCTTGCACTTGACTTGGTTGAACTTCATGAGGTTGGCATTGGCCCACCTCTCAAGCCTGTCAAGGCTCCTTTGGTTGGACCTTACATGATTTATATGAAAACATTCACATGTAAGTCCCCACAAAGTTTGGGGGCCCAGAATAGTAGATGATAGGAAAGCACAAATAAAGATAATCCTTCCCCAGACAATCATTTAGTCTAGAGGAGCAAGGGTTAAGAAAACATGAAATACAGAACTCCCCAAAGATTTGTAAGAAATTCTGATGTACAAAAAGCTGTTTTACAGGAAGATGTACAACAACCATTTGAAGCAGTGAGAAAAATGAACAAAAATGTTAATTGAAAAACCTGAGTATCCCATTATTCAATAAAGTATTTCCACATCATGATTCATGTGAGCAAGTCCATACCGTAAGCAACATATTCAGATTGGAGCATATTACAAAGCATTTATTCGCAATTACACTCCCATCTTTTCCCTGGATGTTCTTTCTGATGGAGTGAGTTTCTTTTGGTATTGGGGTTTGGGTTTGGGTTGGGTTTTTTTCTCCTGTGTTTCTTTTTTGAACTGCTTTCCCTGCTGGTGATTGATCTTTGCAAGCACTGCCGTTATCAACCGCAGTACTCACTGTGGTTAACGCTGTTGGAGGGTTGTTCCCTTCAACATACACCAGCAATTGCAATGATTTATTACAACTTCTTTTATATGACAGAGAAAAAAATTCATGGAGCTGCAGCAAGATCAGAAAAATAGGCCATGTATGAAACCTGAAGACAGATCTTTTTGACAGCAAACTCAGTTTTCTTATAAACCTGCTGCATGAAGGAAGCACAGGACTTCCAAAGCAGGATGTCATTATGGACACTTTTTTCCTGCTGAATGGAAACACTGTTGGAAGGTATAGTAACAGCAGAGGCAAATAAAAAGAAGTAAACTGGAGTGAGGACCTTTTTGTTCTGAAGTTGCATTCTGTGGTCTGGAAGATGACTCAGTTGTTTGAGTGGTTATGACAATTGTTGAAGCACCATCCAGAAAAAAAGGAAAGACATTTGTCTTAACTAATGATGGAATTCCTTCCACACTGCTTCTAAGTGAAAGTAATTTGAAGCTATGAGATTGAAACCATCAATGTTGAGCTGTCAAAAACTGATGAACGGAGACAATTTCAGCACTGTGAAGAGAGCAAAAACAGAGACTGTGTGGGTCCAGATAGCTCTCTGAGAAGGTATGAAATAGTCCAGGGAGAATCTCATTAGGTGTGAGATAAAGGTAGTTTTGACTCCTAGAAGTTACTCATAAAAGATTGTTTTATTTTTTTATTGAAAAATAATTTTTAATGTGCATGTTTTCAGACTGTATTAGGTGGACAATGCCTTGCATTTTGGTATATATTCTTATTCTGAGACCAAAAGTTACAGTTCTTAGGCTGAACAACAGACCCTTTTAATTCAGCTTCTATTTGAAAGAAAGAAGATCACAGGAGGAAAATCAGAGCCAAGATGAAGACATGAAAGAAAGAATGATCAGTACATAAGTAAAGGAAGAATGGGAATGTCACACCTAAAACAAACAATGCAAGATGCTTTTGTGGTACAGGTGATGGATGACTTACCAGTGACACAGGCTTTTGCTTTCCCATCTGCGGTTGACTTTTGTTTGCTGTAAGGTTGGGTGATAGACACAGAAAAATGTAAAAGATCAACAAGATGAAGTAATGTGTCTCCTTGACAGGTTTCAACTTCTCCATCTAGAGGCTTTACAAAATGATTGGTGTGGTACAGTTTAAATGACTTGAGAAATGTGGCTTTTACCATTTATTATTTTTGCAATTATTTTCACCAGTATTAAGATTCATCTTTCCTTTTGTTTGACTTTTCTTGTATATAATATAGCCATCTCAGACAGTATGTCCATTTGTTCCTCTCCCTGTTTTCTAGCTTACGTCATTCAAATACTTTCACATAATTGTGTTTTCCTGTTAACTATTTTCCCACAGATAAAATACAGCAGTATTTTAAGAAGAACATGCCTGTTCTTCTTCTCTGGACTTGTTATACAAGTTGTTGGCAAGAATGAACTTAAAAGATGGACTGGGCAAAATGATCCCTGCTTAAGTCTGTATGAAAAATATATACCAGACATGTGGTGGCCATTGTTCTCAGCCTCTATGTGTTTATAAAGAGAAACTATCACCTTCTAGGCAAGGTGTGGGAAATTCCTTTATGCTTCCCAAATTGACATGTGCCTGGCTCCAAGTGTTGTCTCTCCTTGGAGATCATCTAACTTGTTATCTAGTATAATCTTTCGTATTGATTTTTTCACTCCTGTATTTCTTGCTTCTGTCAGTGTTTACCCCCTTTTTTGAACCAGCAATATGAGCAGGGAATTTCAGGCAGAGCTATGTGTTTTGCTCTTTCCTTTCTCTTGCCCAGAATGCCTATATCACAGTATTTGAGCATGAAATGGGTGCTCTTCAGTCATCATCTTCCCCTTCCACAGAAAGTGTGGTTAGTTAGCCTTTTCTACACAGCTGCCCATACGTTCTGGACTCAGTGCACAGACTAGGAAATGTATTAGAGGAGTTCGAAGAAAGGTTAGTATAGAGGAAGGTCTATATAGGGAAAAGCACTTTCTCTGTTCCATAGCCATGTAATTCTGGGAGGATAGCCTGTGACCACAAAGTCATACATCAGGACCAGAGCTAATTTATAAATCCTTGGGGTTCTGCAGAGGTTACGTTTGGGGTTTCTTAATGACAAAGTTCCTTCTTTCTATGTAGTCGAAGAGTTTCAGTGTAAGATTTGCGCGCATGTTTCCTCAAATTGACACAGAAATAACACATCCATCCTGCAATCTATTAGCCTACTTCTTTCAGTGCCCAGACTGCTCTATCACAGGAGCAAGGGATCTTGCTGCTTGCTGTAAAGCCTCTCTGTGGTGCTCCTTCCTACACTGCAGAGATGTGTTTAGGCAGGGCTGAAAGACAGAGCCAGCCATTGCTCAGAGTAGCAGTCCTCACAGGGCAGGTGAAGTTGGTGTGGCCAGAGAAAGAAGGGTGGTTCAGGGCTACCCTTTTCTGAGTTATATCACACATAGTGCAGCTGAGGACGTTGTCCTGAGTCTTGTTTGATAATCATTTATCTTTGTGTGTTTCCAATACCAAATTTTAGCAGTCTCCCAAGGATCTGTATGATTACATAGGTGTATTTTAATATTATTCTGCAGACTTTTGTTTCTGCTGGTTATTGTTAGGGTGCCTTTTACAATGTGTCCTCTTCTTCTTCCCCACTTGCATTATAATGCTGCCAGTTTAATTCTGGATTGATATGGTCACAGTCTACAGGTTGTACATAGTCTGTATAACTCCACATTCACGCAGTATCACATTTTCAGGTATTTTTTTCTTGAGGACATTGAAACTGCTACACATTTCTATACTGTTACTTGGTGGGTAGGGGAATTACAAGTGAATCTTAAAATAACATTTTGCACAAGTAGTCC